TTTCCTGCGTTGGTGGTGGTGTTGCTGGTGGCGGCGGCGGCGGTGGTGGTGGTTGCTGCTGACTCAAGGAGTTGGCCTTAGGAAATGTAACGCCTGTTGGTGTTGCTACTGCGGATGTTGCTCCTGCTGTTGATGTTGCTCCTGCCGCCGCTGCTGCTGCTGCTGTTGCTGTTGCTGCTACTGCTGTTGTTGTCGTTTGCACAACTGTTGCCACCAATTGGCTTACAGCTGCTGCCTTAAATTCGCCGGACTGCTCCTGCTGCTCTTGAAAGTCCTGTTGGCTGAAATTGGCTAGCTTCGATGTTGCTGCGGGCAATGGCGAGGTTTTTCTCTTGATTGACGCAATTTTAATGGCTATTGGTGAGCAGGTTTGATTGTAAATTGATTTCCTCCGCTTTCCTCGTCGTTTTCCCTTGGATTTTCCGTTTTTCCTTTTTCCTATTTGCGACTGTCTGAGCCTTGTCTGCCTTTTTGAGTTTTCTATTTGATTTTTATTTAGAACATTGACTAGTTAGTTATGCGATTTTTATATTGGCTAAACACTGAACACTTATTAATGTTGAAATTTAATTTATTTACTTTATTTTTTTTTTTAATTGCGGTTACTTAAGCACACACATCAATAGACACAATTTTTGTTTTTGTTTATTCAAGCTAAGCTTTTTCAACTAATTTTTGGTTTTTCTTTTATGGCAATTTGCTAAATCTTTTTCACTCACAATTAAGCTAATTTTATATGTTTTTACTTTTAAGCTAGAGTCACAAATTTAATTTGGATTTTTTATTTTAACTTTATTGTCTCTACTTATCGCTTAGAGTTCTTTAAATATTTTTTTTAGTAAAATAATACTGTAGATCTTTGCTTTGGTGTTCACTTTGAAGATTTCTTTAATATTTCTTAAATATTTGTTTTTTTTTTTGCTTTTGAGAGTTTTTAACCCTTTTTAGTTGTTTGTTTTTTTCTGGTTTTCTTTTTTGAGTTCTTAGTTGGCTAAGATTCGTAGGAATTTTCGCTGACAATTGTTGCGCTGAGAGACTGGAATCCTTGGACTACTTGGAGTAGTGAGTTCTTGAGCAGAATATTTTTTGGTGTAAATTTCACGCTTTGTAAATAATACTGAACTGCACACTTGCACTCTTTGCACTTCCCGATTCTCTCAGTGGCTAATATGTATAAATATATTTGTAAATCATGGACAGAATGAACTGACTTCGACGCAGATTACGTATACGCACGGGAAAAATGGAAATATAAATACGTATGTGTATATATTTTTAATGCAGAATCTTGCAGCCTATGGCATTTAAAAACTTTTCTTTTTTTCGAAAAAACACAAAATGGCGAGCTTGCACTGTGGAAAGGATGTTTTGCAGGACGACTCCTTTTTGGGGGGGACTCCTGGCTTGGCTATTTTTTTTTGTAGGTTTTAAGTAGGATTTTATTGGTTTGAATTTGATTACGATTTGGGTTTTTTTTGGCTTCAGACTTGGCTGTCTTGGGTTGTCGCAGGCAATCTCTGTGTGCTGGGGCTCTGTGGTCGCTTTCCGCTTTTGTGGTGCGCAAAATGAGGAAAAGGCGTTTGTAACTGAACTTGACAATCGTCGAATGGATTCTGAATTTCTCATTGAGTAAGGTTTTTGAGTAAGGCCTCAGTCTGGCAATTTTCGTATCGTTTCGGCTCGGCAACTTCGGTTTGGCACGAATGCATTGCATTTTCCTAGGGAGCCGGCAAAATTGTTTTTTTCCATCACAGAGCACAGGATCCACAAGCCGACGCAGGCGCAGGACTCAAAGGCGTTTCGTCTGCCATTCAGCGCTGCATTTCCTTTTTTGAAGTCGGAAAATGAGAAGCCCACTATCCCCATCCGTTCGTCTGGTCAGCAGCTTCTTCAACTGAAATGCATCCCAGCCTATGGTGGTCGCAATTATCTTAACAACTTTCTGCCATCACTGGCAATTGTCAACATTGAATTTAATCACAAATTACTACGTGACCAGGCACACACACAAACTTCTTATAAGAAATATATAAATATTATGCTGAGTAAACTTTTTCAGCGCCACAAACTCAAATACTGTCAAGTTTTACAGGTTTTCCGCAACATTTTTCGGCTATCAAACTCAAATAGAAATTGCCAAAAGGAAAATTAGACGAAGGAAGGGGAAAAAGATAGGTAAATTCAAGAACGGGTAGGAAAAGCAAATCAAAGGAGTGTAAATGATATTTCCTTTGGCAAATTTCCTGTAGTATTTAATTTCCTAATTACTGAAGAGGGAGTTGGAAATAAGACTGTCAGGAGTGAAAATGCTGGAGGGGAAATAATTTGTTTTACTGAAGCATTTGGTTTATCAAAAGGATTAGTTTAAATAACAGTTCAAGAAAAAGAATGTAATGGAAGCTATAAAATATTTAAAAGAATTAAAAATCATGATACAAAAAATATTAAATGTTTGAAATTCAAATGTTATATTGGAAAACGTTAGTATTCCAATTTTGATCAAATAATCAAATTTCCCAGTGTTTTAACTTTCTCCTTATAATTTTAGTTTTAGTTACAGAAAAAGTCTACCAAAACAATGGAAATATTTTTGAGACTCCACTCAAAAGTTTTAGAAAATGTTATATCCAAAAACTCTCCTCAAACTTGACATCTACAATCTTTTCTCATGCTAAACTCTCGCCCATTTTCATCACAAAGTGCGGTCCAAAGAAATTTTAAATATATATATCTTCCCTGAGCTCCATAAACTTCAGCAACTTGCCCGTTTCCTCTTTTATTTATTTACTTTCCTTTCTTCATTTTTCCGTGTAGGACACAAAATGCGAAATATAATTTTCATTCCAGCCACAATAACTGACGTCGACTGCGGCGCTGACTAAGCGCGACTGTTTACAATTTTTCCCGTATTTTTACCCCACACCCTCAACGAATTTTCTTCTTTTTTCAGTTGGTATTTTTTTTATTTTGATGTGGTCTGCCAGAATGTTTTGGTTGCTGTTGTTGCCGTGAGTTGAAAGCTGTTTAAATGAAAGAACGTTCCCGTGGAAAGCCAAAGCAACGCCTGTTGGCCATTAGAGGATGCCAAATAGATGTTGCCTACAAAGCGAGCACACCTGGGGGATTTCAGGGTGTCCGGGGAGGGGGCTCTGCGGATTGGATTGGGCTACCTAAAAACGCAGCAAACGAGCAACATCAGCCCCAGATTCGTACTACCCCATCCCTCGGTATTATGCCGCAACAGCTTTGAATAGTTTATTATGCGGAGTACGTATATAAAACATATACACCAAGAAAATAAATTAAAATAAATTCAGAAGATCATAAGAAAGTTATACTTATTTATCTATATACCAAAGTTAAACGAGGGTCTATCACCTTGTAAAAATAAATCCATTTAAGTTGGTAAGCTCATGGCAAGCCTAGAAAAGGTTTTTAAATTATCGATATCACATGGTTGTTAATCGATATAAATATATATAGCAACTAATTTCATTATGAATCAATTTGTTAAAAAAAATCATGTAAGTTGGCTATGAGTTCTTAAATGAAAATAAATTATTTTCTTAGTAAGTTGATGGAAATCCTAGAAAATATTTTTTAAATGTCGATATCTATATCCCTTTTTATATTAACTATCATGTATCGACTATCAAATATCATAAAAATTAAATTTTTTTTAAATTTAAAGATGTTAATATATATTCCTAATAATTATAAAATAAATGTACATTTTACAGTGCACCCATATAACACGCAGGTAAACCGGATTTCGTCAGTTGAGGAAGGACGAAGAGGACTACTTACAAATGTTGCCTTTGTGTGATTCCCATTTCGAGTTTTCCATTTTTTTTTGATGCGTTGTTGGTGTTTAGAAAGCAAATGCATAAATTATGATGGAAATTTCACAATGCACAAGAGCCCACACCCCCTAAAAATGTGTAATACCATTGAAATTAGCAAAAAGGGAAACCAGCTAAAATGGTCCTTTCTTTGGGGGCCCTATATGTATGTTTGTGTGGGTGTGTGAATAATGATTTATCAGGTACGAGGATAATGGGGCACTATTGCCCCGATTCTCTCATCGAGATTAGACTGCCTGCACTGCAACTGTCAGCAAATTGATGGCGAAAATGGTTAGAAGAAATCCATATCATTGCCAGGCCATGGCAGCCGCATCAGCGGGAGCAATTTTCCACTCAAATGCGTACTGGATTTCCCCTAGCCCTGGATTTCCCCCTTACCCAGCAGCCCATTTTCCCCTGATTTTCCCCACATTTTCGTCCCGCATTTCCCGGTTTCGAACGACTCTGCGTATGACACATGTCGATTGCAGTGGCGCCCCCTAGCGCCCGCAAGGCAAAAATGGCGCCTTCAATGTGGAAAGAAGCATCAGAATCAGAAATCATCAGCCTGAGTCCGATTTGAATGAGCGATTGAGTGAGTGACTGTGTGACTGACTGGCTGACTGCCTGACTGACTGGCGAGAGTGCGAGCGAGTGAGCCGTTTGATTGTTTGATTGATGCATGGTTCTATTGATTGATTGATGCCTTTGTTGGTCTTTGATTGCTTAGATGTTTGGCCAACACTTTTTATACCACCCTTTTTTAAATTGGTTTCGAGTTTTGATGGGGTCATAGGGCCTTTTAAACTTCAGTAATCTGTATTGCAGTATATTAAGGACCGTCAATCTATACAACTGAATAAATACAAGTTAAAGCTATTAAAAGTTGTCAGAAGTATATATATAGAAGTATAAATGCCCCTCAGATAGTAAAATTTATTTATGGTTAATATTTATAGAATACATATTTAATCTTATTCCAACATTTCGTTTATCAAAAACCAATTTCTTGATTCGGATCAACCCTTTGGTTAATTTTCTTAAGCAAATGATGCGAATACTTTGACCCAAAAACACTTGAAATGTTTGCTGACCAATAAATAATATTCTAAAATTATCCGCCCTAAATATAGATGTGATTTATGTTCGACTTACATTTGAATAGTTCTGGGATCTCGGAATCTGCGGCGGCAATTGCTGGGCGTTCGAGGGTCCCCTCATGTTACCGCCCCCACCCATCCCGCCGCCTTGCTGCTGGTGGGGCGGGCCGCCCATCTGTTGCTGCTGCTGAGGGGGCGGGGCCGGGCTGTATCGTGGATGCATGGCGAAAATGCTTTTCTTAAACTCTTTCTACTTCTTGGTTAGTAGCACTATCAAATTGACTCGTGACTGCAAATAAGACGGGAAGATTAAGATAATAAAGATTAGAAAAAGTGAATCAGTTCAGCAATAAAACTTTTACAAAAATTACAAATATTTGAGGAGGAGATTTATAGTATTCTTAACACCTTGGGTTCGTATTTTTGTTTATTCAACATCTAGATGGTTTAAAAAATATTTTTATTAGAGATAGCACTCTTTTATTAGAGAGGAGTAATTAAATTTAGTTTCCCTTATGGTCACACTGTTTCTAAATAGTTCTTAAAAATGAAAATCGGCAACACTGAAAGTACTTTTTTGATTTTAATAGATTTATTTTTTCTAAAACTGGCTTCTTTTGTTTCATTTTAGAATTAGTTTTTATTTTATTTAATAGTATTTTTGCCATAGCTAATTAACACCTGTCAGTACTATTTTTCTGCTACTCTTTTGTGTAGCCCAACCCGTTGCCTCTGCCTGCAGCTCGGCAACACTGTTCACTGCACTTTATAGCTCTCTCTCTTTCCCGCTCTATTTATATCGCTCTTTTAACGCATTCTGTGCCATATCCAGATCGTTTTGCCGTGTTTCTAATTTGTAATTAATATTTCACTTGCAACTTTGTAGATTATTTTCAGCATCACTTTGCCCCTGTTGTTGTGTTTGTTTTTTGTTCTTCCAACGGAGCCTTCAGCGAGTTATTTTAGCACTATTTCCGTCTCTTTCCCGCGCGGTAGTTGCAAAAATTTGCATTTTGGCATTAAAAATAGCACACAGCCAGCCAATTTTTGTTATATTTTTTTTGCAAATTTATTTTTACACTGTCAGACGGGCACAAATACACACGCACACACACACACACAGTATAATTTATTGATATGCAGAGGGAAATTATTCAATTGCAAATTGTTTTTACGCTATAGCTTTTTATCAATTGCACTTGTTGTTTTTGTGTTATGGCTTATTTAAGGACAAGACAATGAGAGAGAGCGAGAGAGAGAGAGAGAGGGATGGCAGAAGAGAACAAGCGCAGCAGCAAAAGAGCGGGAGAGAGCACCGGCAAAAGAAGACAACAAGTGAGCAAAGCAAAAATGGAAAAAAAAATATTTGCACTACGATAAGATTTAAATAATTACACTAATCATGCTCTCTCTCGCTCCCTCTCTCTCATTCTGTCTTTTTCTCTCTGAGAACACTTTTAGTTAGTACTTAATTTTATTATTGTTTCCTTTTTTTATGCACTGCACTGCCGCTCGTATTTATGTATTTTTATGCCATTTCGTTTTTTTATCGAGTGCATTGCTCTAAAACAACAACATTCGCTTTCAATTAGCTGAGAGCTGCAAAATGTTGTTGCTTTTGCCATTGTTACGTCTGCTTTGCGGGGCTTCCAAAGGTTGTTTTCCTCTTTTTCGTTCGTTTTGCCATTAGTTTAATGCTGCTTTGCTTACTTATTGGAATTTTTTCTATTTTATTGTTGGCCTGTCAGCTGCTGTTGCTGCTGCTTCTTCTTCTTCTTCGTAGTCTTCCTCTTCTTCTTCTTGCTTCTTGTTGCACGTTCTGTTTTTTAGCACACAAACACACACACACACGCACAAACGCCACTCACAGTCGCACAAACACAAAACACACACTGGCACACGCTTTTTGCACTTGAAAGTTATTCGATTTCGTTTCGATTTGGTTCGCCCTCTTCTTTGTTTGCTTCGCTATTTGTTTGTTGTTTCGTCACGCGGTTTAATTTATATATTTATGCAAAATATTACAACGACAAAATATAAGTTTGCGCAGCCGAAAAAAACGAAGAAAGCGCAACGCGACAGCGACGGCAATCGTATGAGATGAGAGTGAGTGTGGGAGTGGAGAGAGCGCAAAAGCCAACGCAAATTGCGCGCTCTCTCGTTCGTTATTCGCCTCTCTCTCTCTCTCGTCTATGCCTCGCCGGCAAGCTAGGCTCTCCTCTCGCCACTCTCAGAAAGTATATTTTTGTTACTCTTGCAAATCGCAAATATAAATTTAAATAATTAACTAAAGGAAAATGACAAAAAAAGGCAATCAAGCTACTAAAATAAAGAGAAACCCCTACATCAACTCAAAAGTAAGAAATAATATGGAAACGCCTTGGTGTTGGGATTATTTTACGACATTTAAAGCGGTATTTAACATAAAAATACCAAAACTTTAACACCAGCCAACAAAATAAACGAAACACTTTTAAATACTACTTGACTATGTATTCAAATACCTACATATGAATACTGCCCATAAATGGTATTTTATTATATTTGGCTTCTATAATGTACAATAATGTTATACCAATACCAAATTTATTCAAGAATAGTTTCCTTTTTTGAAGTAGATGACTCCGAAAAAGCGTAAATGTCAATTTAAAGATTAAGAATTATTATATAGCAAATTTTACAGGGAACGGCGATCAATAAATAAAGTTATGTACCCAAGAAGTGCAGTTTTGGGTTCCTATTAGATATACGGAAAAATCGAACATGAAAATGGGTCAAAATCTTGACCCTCGTTAAAAAGATATATTTAAATGTAGTTTATTAGAGAATTCGACCACAAGCTCATAGAGGTATCACACTTCAAAATCGGAATCAAATTACCAGAGTTATGGATTTTAGAAGTGCAGTTTTTGGGTTCCCATTCTGAAACCCATGGGAAATACGAAAAAATACAACATGAAAACGGGTCAAAATCTTGACCCTCGTTAAAAAGATATATTTTAACGTAGTTTATCAGAGAATTCGACCGCAAGCTCATAGAGGTATCACACGTCAAAATCGGAATCAAATTACCCGAGTTATGGATTTTAGAAGTGCAGTTTTTGGTTCCAATTCTGAAACCCATTGGAAATACGGAAAAACTGAACATGAAAATGGGTTAAAATTGTGACCCTCGATTAATAGGCATATTTTAATGTAGATTATTAAATAATTCAAATACAAGCTCACAGAGGTATCACACTTCAAAATCGGAATAAAATTACCCGAGTTATGGATTTTAGAAGTGCAGTTTTGGGTTCCAGTTCTGAAAGCCATGGGAAATACGAAAATATATAACATGAAAATGGGTCCAAATTTCGACCCTCGTTAAAAAGATATATTTAAATGTAGATTATAAGAGAATTCAACCACAAGCTCATAGAGGTATCACACTTCAAGATCGGATTAGAATTACCCAAGTTATGGATTTTAGAAGTGCAGTTTTGGGTTCCAGTTCTGAAACCCATGGGAAATACGAAAAATTACAACATGAAAACGGGTCAAAATCTTGACCCTCGTTAAAAAGATATATTTAAATGTAGATTATTAGAGAATTCCACCACAAGCTCATAGAGGTATCACACTTCAAGATCTGATTAGAATTACCCAAGTTATGCATTTTAGAAGTGCAGTTTTTGGTTCCAGTTCTGAAACCCATTGGAAGTACGGAAAAATCGAACATGAAAATGGGTCAAAATTTTGACCCCCGTTAAAAAGAAATATTTGAATGCAGAATATTAGAGAATTCAACCACAAATTCAATGAGGTATGCCACGTCTAAATCGAATTACTATAACCGAAGTTATGAAATCTAGAACTGCAGTTTTTGGTTCTAGTTCTGAAACCCATGCCAAACACGGAAAAATCGAACATGAAAACGGGTCAAAATGTTGACCCTCGTTAAAAAGATATATTTAAATGTAGTTTATTAGAGAATTCGACCACAAGCTCATAAAGGTATCACACTTCAAAATCGGAATCAAATTATCCGAGTTATGGATTTTAGAAGTGCAGTTTTGGGTTCCAGTTCTGAAACCCATGGGAAATACGAAAAAATACAACATGAAAACGGGTTAAAATCTTGACCCTCGTTAAAAAGATATATTTCAATGTAGTTTATTAGAGAATTCGACCACAAGCTCATAGATGTATCACACATCAAAATCGGAATCAAATAACCCAAGTTATGGAATCTATAAGTGCAGTTTTGGGTTCCAATACCGAATGTCATTGGAAATACAAGAAAACGGAGCTTGAAAAACAGATACAAATTGAACCCTTATGTAAAAGAACAATTTAACTGTCGAATATTGGAAATTTCAACCACAAATTCATAGATGTGTCCCGCGTCTAATTCGGGATCAAGGAAATCAGGGTATGGAATCTAGGTTTGTGTGGTTTTAGCAGTAACGTATTTTTCTGGAAAATTAAACTTTCCTTTCTTCTGCGCATTTGATATATCTGTCAGTTTACGTTTGGAATGGGGTTTAATCCCATTAGCTCAGTTCATTACGCAAATGTCGCAAAATAAAATGAATAAAATAAAAAAGAGGGGACCGAAAAACTGTAAAGCCAGCAACTTGTGTGTTATTTTGAAATATTTAAATAAAATTAATATTCTCAACAAGTGCGTCGCATAAAAGTGCGCCACCCACCACATATCCGCCCACCCACACACGTCCTTCCGCCCACTTTGCACCACCCACCACACACCGCCCCTTAGCTTTTGGCACATAACAAAGGACTAAGGGACTAAACAAATGATGCATGATGACGACAACGAAAAATAAGGAGACAGGGGGTTAAAACAGAAAAAACGAGATGAGAGCGACTCCCACGCATTGTAAAGCACTGCCACGCCCACCGCCCACTTAAAACGCACCCACTGTGACAGCTGCGGTCAACAAAATAGTCGTTTTGTAGTAAAAACAAAAGTTGACAAATTTACTATCGGAGATAAAATAAATTTTTAATAAATTTACCCTATATATGATATGTGTTTCACATCTGCCTAACTTCATATTTTAATTAATTGTTTTAAACTTTAATTTATTTCCAAAAAACAATAATTTTTGTAGAGTAAGCTTTTTTATTACAAATCTTAAAGTAAACTGTGTAGTAAATTATTGATTTAAATTTTGAAAGCAATCGTTTATCTGGGCCTATTTCTGTGCTCTCGACTGTAAAAACTCCACCACGATAGCACACATATATGAAGACAGTCTGTAAACAATGTAACGCCACTCCCTCCGGCCCCTTAAGCCTACAAACAATAAATTTGCAATAGCAACGACAAAATTTGAAGAATGGGCCAGGACCAACGAACAAGAAGAAAAATCGGGAGCAGACAGAAAGGACAATACTCGAAATAAAATTGGAACGCAAAAAGATGGCAAAAAAAAAATTGAAATACATCAAAACATGCAAGGAATTTAAATTTATCTTAAATATGTAAATTTAATGACACTATCGAGATATGCAAATTTCTCCCAAGGCAGCGGCAACAAAAAACAAAATACAACGAAATTGGAGCAAGAAATCAACAAAATTTTAAACAGGAAATACTAGATATAATGGAGAAAACAGTATTCAAGATACAATAACGTAACTTAGTTTTAATAAAATATTAAAACATTCATTTGTAATTTATTTATTTTTTACATTTAAAATGCTCTATCTTATAAGAACTATTCTTAAAGGAACTATAGAAATATTCTATAAGATCTATTGTAAAAAAACTATTATTTATAATTATCACTTATACACATACTACATATCTTCGTGGTTTACACTTAGGTTTAATAAATTCATTATATTACTTGTCAAAGGTAATAAATATTATTTGGGTGAAGCCACAGAATAAAAATCTCTATCGAGTGATTACTGTTCTAGAAAAATGGGGCAAGAAATCAAAAAATGCCAATAAATGGTAAGATGGGGTAGATAGTAGAAAAAGACAGGCTCTTACGCACAGTGGGCTGAAACACTTTCGCCTAAACGCATGAAAAATAACATATTGGGGGGAATGGGTGGAAATGGCATGCAAGATGGATGGCTTCGGGGGGCGGAAAAGTTGCCTGGGGAATAGGGGGAGGGGCAACAGCCTCTCTGCGGCCAAAATGACGACGCGTTGGTATTTTCATTAAGTTTGGCACCATTTTCCTTTTGTTACCCACTCCCAACCCCATTTGCACTCACACTGCCCTGCTCTTTCTCGACCATATTTTTCTGACTTATAGTGAAAAAAATATGTTAAATATAAAACTAAATATAAATATTATTGGATATTTTTGTGTAATAATAAACAAACACATATTAAAATAAGGAAGTTATAATAAACCACTTTGTCGGCTGAATTTTCTTTTTTTATTATATTATATCTATTGAAAATACCTATAAGTACTTTAACAAACTTTTTTTGTTTCTTTTAGTTGTTAAATGCCCAAGAATTTCTATATGTCTTAGTTTTATACCAGAGATTTTAAAAATAATTTTAAAAAAAATAAATAAATATTTAAAATGTTTTTTTTTCAGTTAAAAAAATGCTAATATTTATGTAAAAATACACTAATCCCATAAAAATAAATCCTAGTAAGCCAGAAAGCCCTCTCAGGACTTATAAATAATTTTAAATTTATCCCTATATTGTTGTGCATACCACTTTCGCTCAGTGTAGAGTTTCTTGGCCACCGCTTGAAGCACAAAAAATTCTTGTCGCGCAACAGCAGCAAAAAGGAGGCGGCCATTTGGGGGTGCAAGCGAGAGGAAAGACCGCTGCTACGTGACCGTAAGCAATTTGCAGTGTGGGCGGAAAGGCCGGAAAAACTGGGGAGTGGCAGTGAGGAGGGGGGGTGGAAAAGCTGAAGGGGGGTGCACTCCTCGCTGCGTAATCGCATCAAGAAAGTGAAATGTCAGCTGTTTCCATCATCTTGGCGCTGCGCCTCTGTCGGCATGTGACTGCCAGGAATTCAAGCTAGTTAAAAAATAGAAAAAAAAGAGGGATGGGCATGAGGATAAGGTCTACGGTTCCACAAGGAACTACAACTACTAGTTTCCCAATGGAATGCATTGT